ATAATTAAAAATATTTACATTTATGTTCTTTTAAAGATGATTCGGAATTCATTAAAAAAATAATACTACAAGAGATTGGGCGACCTAGAACCTGACCTAATAAAACAAAAAATTAAAGCTATATGAATTAAAGACAGACATTCATACATCACGTGTACAATCTAGCGAACCACTTATGACGCGAAATCAAATTGCAAAAAAATATAAAATATCAATTGACCGTCACTAAACTCAAATTATAAGAATAGTGAATGAACTTGATCATCAACGCGGTAACAAATTCATTAACCAATAACTTATGCACAAACTGCGATAAGTAATCACGACCATTTATGGCCAAACAGTCCAAAATCAATCACATTTGACTGAAGCGGGTTCTAATATTGCAGAGGTAGTAGACTCAAACCAGAGCAAGAATCTACGAAGCACCGCCAAACCGAACAACCAAAAATTCTTTGACGCAATGAAGACAAACAACATCTTAAAACCTGCAAATTTCAACAAAGCTGGAAGCAAACAGAGATTGAAGAATTATAAAAGTCAACACTCACACATCAGAGAAGATGAGGCTTAGCTGCAGCAAAACCGGCGTCGGAGTAGGAGATGCACAACCGCAACTAAGTTGCATCACACAACCATTGTCAATGAACACTTCCTCCAACCACAAACCAAAATTCGGTGAGGACTCAACTAGAAAAGCAAACAGATAAAAAACAAAAATCAACACACTCTGAATTTGAAGAAATCGATTTTTTTATTTGTCTGGATCGAGCAACAAACAACTAGACCAACTGTCGCTGAAACCCGCTGAGGCAACAACCCAACAAGATTTAAAAAATATTCTGGCTTGTTTTTATTATGGTTGAACAAAATAATGAATTTTTTATGAAAAATTGAGAGGTCTATCCCACTTCTCTTCTCTTGGTCCATTCTTAGAAGCAAATATAGAATCACACAATATCATAGTTATGATCATGGTTATAGTAGTTGTAATGGAAATTACAAGAACACCTTTTTTAATTGAAATTGAAAAACGTTTGAAAGAATGAAAAAAAAACAAGAGAAAAGTAAGAGAAAAAAATGAAAATATTTGACATGGTTATAGAGGCGAATGTCATCGAATCATACTTCTCAGACAAAAACATCCTATTTGCCTTTACTAATAGTTACTAAAAAAAATAAGGGGATTGCTTCTCTCATTCTAAGCGGTGGAGAAGCACCTTAAGAAAATCCAAAAATGTCTATGAGAATTTGACATTGCATCTTCGGACGCATTCATTGCACACTAAATACATGCTTAAATGAGTCATTCCCCTTTGTTTTGTTTTAAAATGGTTCGAATATGTACTTATGTATTTACCCTATGCACATCCCATGCATTCTTAATTGAGACACACTCATTTTGACTTAAATTGATCACGAGACATACTTATGTATTACCCTATATGCACCACATGCATTCCTAACTGAAACACACTCATTTTTGCCTTAAACTTATCCGTATATGCATTTTCGTATCAGGTTACGGAGATTCACTTCCGTATTCTCCCTGTCAGTAAATTTTGACCTTTTGTTTTTATGAAGTACACTGATGTAATAAACCATGTATTAAAACTATACTATCACAATAGACATAAGATGAACATATCATATATGAGTAAATTAATCCATAATACAGTCATAATAACAAAGTAACAAACAATAATAATATCAGTATTTCCTATTACAATTACTACATAATACAAACACTACATTATTGCATATGTTAAACATGAAGGGTCATCATGAGGGAGAAACATTTACATTGGGTCAAACACTCACTTAAAGGTTAAAAACTCACCCAAAAAAGTGAGAGAGACACCACAAGTTCATCCAAAACCTTAAAGTGATATATGCATGAGTCCTATTACTTATAAAATGCTTAACCTCCATTTTTTTAAGCAATGTGAGACTTAGAATTCACACTTGTTTCTCCACACAAATCAGACTTAGTTCTAAAAAATCACCCCCTCAAATTTGAGTTCATCCACTATGCCCCCCCTCAAGCAAAAACTCTTTCATCCACAAGCTTGTTTCACCGTTGAGAGAGACCCTTATCTCGTCATGGGCACTTCAACGAACCACGTTGCCTGACCACTATGCCAGGAAGACTTTCGACACAAGGAGTCGGTCCCTTACTCGAATCAGGGCTCTGATACAACAGATGGGTTATCATGAGGGAGAAGCATTCACATTGGGTCAAACACTCACCTAAAAATTAATGACTCAACCAAACAAGTGAGAGAGACACCACATATTCACTAAAAATCTTAAGGTGATAGGTGTATGAGTCCTCTTGTTTATAAAGTGCTCAACCTCCATTTTTCTAAGCAATGTGGTCCTTAGAACTCACATTTGTTTCTCCATACAACTCACATTTATTTCTCAACAGAACCGTCATATTCCTTTGTTGCCTTCTGTACTGAAGTACCCCCCCCCCCCCCGTCTCAGTAAAAATGGCATCTACAACGTTCCTCTCAGAAGATCCTTCTAGAAAGACTCCTCTATTTATACCTGTTTCGAAAGATCTATGATACATTAACATCTAGGAAACATATCAATAATATGATGCGCCCTAACCTTCTCCTCCTCTAGTATCTCCTGATGAGATGACCTAGGTGGATCTCTCGAAGCATCCAGTGTCATATAAGGATGTGTCATTCTAAAATACCACTAGACGTAGCTCTATGCACAACTCTAGTCGCTATGAGCTAGGGTGCCTCGTTCGTCATCCGATACTAGATGACTAAGGTAATCATCATACATGGAATCTAAATAGTGCAAACTATAGTAGGAGGGGTAGAATTGAAGGGATGTTTGGGAACAAAATGCATATGCCCGAACTAATGCATGACACACTCAAGCATATGTGGACACATTAGACGTGACCCACAAGCCAACCATTTAAAATAGAAGGCTATGTCGTCCACTGAACACATATGATGGTGATCTACATGCGCTTGAAAGTGTATATCATCTGCTACCATGCGACTAAGATACAAGATGAGGAACCACTGCCCTTGAGGATGAAGAAGCTTTGCAATCTTTAGGCCATGGTTAATGCATTTTAAAGCATCATGGTCCTACAGAAAAATAAATAATTGTCAGAAACATCGAATATTATAAAAAATGTGTTTCAAAGAATAAATACAATTGAATTTTGCCTCTCGACCATGTGATTCAAAAAATGAATATAATAGAATATTATAACACATGTTTGGCAGCATGGTCCAGATATAGAGGCAAAAATGACAAGTCAGACGAGCCTCTTCCACTTCTCTCAGGAACGATATTATCATAGGGTGCCTCAACCTAGACCGGTGGGACTTTTGGGGCATCAAGAGGTGAAACCTGCCTCCTCCGAAAAGATGAAGTTGGAGATGCACGAACTCTAAGTTGATGACTCCACATCAAACAAACTATAACTAACTGATTGTTGCAAAAGTCATGATCTTTTCCTATAAACCGATGAATGTTGCGTCACTCTGACAAGCCTTAATATTTCTTAATTATCAGTCATAATGCCTATAACTAAACCATACAAGCCTTGTATTGCGAAAAAATCAATTCCATATGAAACACGAAGAAAATCAAGGCAAACATTGCAGACATGCCAAATACGAAAATGTATTTCCGGATTTCATTTTGGACAAATACAGAAATACATTTTCGTATTAGTGCGCAACTCTGTAAACACGAAAATGACAGAAACGGATGGAAATCAAACTTTCTCAAATTATATTGCTTATCTAAATCACCTATCAAACATATTTCTAAGTCAAATAACCTATGTAAACTACCTATTACATAACATATCAAACGCATTGCTCAATTTCTACAAATGTATAGAGAAATAAAAAATGTATAGAGAAATAAAAAACTTAACAAATGTGAGTTTGAGTGTGATCTCTTTGATTGATTGGATGTTGATGGTAGAAACTTTGATGTGAGTTGAGAGAGTTTGAGTTAAAATGTTTTGAGAGTTTGAGAGAGCAAAAGTGAAAAACGGAAGGAGAAGAGTCTATCGGATTTTCGATTAAAAACGTGTCCGAATGTGTATCTTCGTAAGATATATTAAGATGCATCTCCGTTTTATTTTTTGACATTAAATTAGGAATTTGATCAATAACAAATAAATTGTGTGTGAATGAGGTGCATTCAAAAATATATTTTTATATTGATCATACTTTCTATTAAGTCTTTAATTTGGACATACTCAAATTTGAAAATTCAATTTAATAAAACACTTAAAAGTTTTGAGAAATTTGAAAGAATAGGGAAAAACTGAATAATAAGGAATCAAGATTTGTGCACTAAATAATATGCTTTCATTTTATATGACCAATATGTATTTATACAAGGTGAATTAGCAACAAACTTCTCAAACGAACACTTTATTATTTAACTTAACTAACATAACCACTTTGTAACTATCTTGAAACCCACATTCTAATAAAGAAAAGTGTTATAAATAACAAGTTAACTAATGTCCATCCTTAATTGTTGTTTACAACTTTTTTACTATTTTTATCACGACCTACTTATTTGTGTCTTATAAGTAAAACTAATATAACAATTAAAAACTATTTTCCAAACACAAATTTTGAAAGCATTTTCCTTATAACAAATTAAAAATGTAACGTGACCGTTAGCGTTTTAAGTAATCTTTTCTTTTGTTTTTAGACAGAAAGCGTTATCCGTTTCCAACTATATGTTTGCTTCAAACCTGCAACTTCCACAGGTTCTCAAACTTAAACTAATAAATTAATCATCATTAATTAATCATTGGTATTAATTAATCTCTCTTTTCTTCTTCTTCTCCCTTGAATCTTGTTCCATAAACTCTCTGATTCTAATCATGAAACACAACTTCAACCAATTTTTCTTTCACTTTTCATATTCCTTTACTTAGTTTCTAATTTCACTTTCCCTTCTCACTCCCAAGTCCCACCGACGCACCAATGATATCCGCCGTTATTCTCTTCGCCGTCACGGTGCTCTCGGCGGCGGTTGTTTCTTCATCTCCGATCACTCTTTCACTTGAAAGAGCTTTTCCGACGAATCACGGAGTTGAGTTGAGTTATCTCAAAGCATTGGATAGTGTCAGACATCGAAGATTTTTGCAGGCTACTAGCTATGTTGTTAATTTTCCTGTTAAAGGATCCTTTGATACCTCAAAGGCTGGGTAATTTCTTGTTGAATATCAAATTTGTGTGTTACTTTTTATCTTTTTGCTGTATTATTTTCTTGTTAATGGAATCTATGGTGAATTTCAGACTTTATTTTACCAAGGTGAATTTGGGAACTCCTCCGAGGGAATTTTATGTGCAGATTGATACAGGAAGCGATGTTCTTTGGGTTAGTTGCGCTTCCTGCATCGGTTGTCCACAAACTAGTGGTCTCCAAGTAAATTATCTATCACCTTTTTGTTAATTCAGTTAATTCAATACTATGACAATGAGATCGAGAATCTTTGAGAGTTATGAAGTTTTTTTTTGTTACAGATTCAGCTGAATTATTTTGATCCTGGAAGTTCGTCAACATCTTCGCTTATCTCTTGTTCTGATCAAAGGTGTAAGAATGGAGTTCAGTCGTCGGATAGCAGCTGTTCCAGCCGGAACAATCAATGTACTTATATATTTCAGTATGGAGATGGTAGTGGGACGTCCGGCTATTATGTGTCGGATTTGATGCATTTTGCTAGTATTTCTGAGGAATCGTCGTCGTCAAATTCTTCGGCGCCTGTGGTTTTTGGGTGAGTATGAAATTAGATTCATATTTAGACTTTGCTTAGATAAAATTATTTTCGCTTAAACTATAAACTGTTTTCATAAGCTATCCTAGAGAGTTTGTTGAAATAAGTTAAAAACAGCTTATGGACATGTCATAAATTGTTTCCTTAAGCTCTAGCAAATAATCTTGTAAGAGATAATGTTAGTAGATAAGCTCAAATAAGTACCTTACTTTTTTTTTTCTTTTCATATCTGTTGATTTGAATTTGGAAAGCATTGTCTTTTAAATTGTGCTGTGGAATGGAACAGTTGTAGCAACCAGCAGAGTGGGGACTTGACAAAGTCTGATAGAGCAATTGATGGTATCTTTGGATTTGGGCAACAGGGCATGTCTATAATTTCTCAGCTCTCTTCACAAGGAATATCGCCAAGAGTATTCTCGCACTGCTTGAAAGGAGATAGTAACGGTGGCGGCTTATTGGTTCTTGGTGAGATTGTGGAGCCAAACATAATTTATAGTCCACTCGTTCCGTCACAGTATGTTCTTCCATTAGAATAAAATGCTATGTTTTATCTTTTTTATGTATATTATATGTACACTCGCTGTTTTTGCATTCGTTATGGTTTACTTAAAGATTTTTTATAAGTTGAACAAGAGTTTAAAAACATGGTATTGTCGAAATTTTATTTGTATTGAAATGGACATTTTCTTTGATTAAAAGTTGAAACATTAAGATTAGTTCTATGGTAAATATTTCAGGCCTCATTATAATCTAAATCTGCTGAGCATCTCTGTCAGTGGCCAAATTTTGCCGATTGATTCTGCTATTTTTGCTACATCAAACGATAGAGGTACCATTATTGATTCTGGAACAACTTTGGCATACATTGCTGAACAGGCTTACAATCCCTTTATCAATGCGGTGAGTTTCACTTAGGTAATTTCTTTTCGTCCAATTGATCAATAATGGATATTGCTTTGGTTTATCTATATATTAACGGAAATGTTGTTCTGTGTAGATTACTGCTGCGATTCCACAATCTGTGCGCACTGTTCTTTCCAGAGGAAATCAGTGTTACTTAGTTACCACCAGGTTAAAATGGAAATGTTCTTAGATATTTAATGGATTATTTTATGACATATTTTCCTCCAATCGAATGCTTAAAATAGATGATCTTTCTCTGCCTCTTTCTGGCTATACTGTGTTTAACAGCCTTGACATGTTTCCTCAAGTAAGTCTGAACTTTGCTGGTGGCGCATCTCTCGTTTTAGGACCACAGGACTACCTTATAAAGCAGAACTATATTGTAAGTATCCAAACTTCGGTTTCTATTTAAGAGCTACTTCATGTTTAATCATGTGCATCACTTGCTTCTTTTACCGAATAAAGTAATTCTTTTTTTTTTTGTCACAAACATTTTACTGCTATACTTTCAATATTTTTTTTTTTCTATTATGAATGTTGTTTCACTTGTTGCATGATATAATAAACCCGATGGTTTAATAGGGAGATGGATCAGTTTGGTGTATCGGCTTTCAGAAAATTCCAGGTCAAGATGTAACAATTCTAGGAGGTAATTGTACAATACCAGTTTGGAAACATTATTTTCGGTCCTACTTCAACATTGTTTGTTTCTGTGATGTACTGAAAATATACATATGTTAATTATGATACTACTGACAACACTATTTTTTCTGGCAGACCTTGTATTAAAGGACAAAATTTTTGTCTATGATCTTGCTGGTCAACGCATCGGATGGGCTAACTATGACTGTAAGTTTTAGCTGCGCATCAATAAACGAACTGCACACATGGTAATCATTGGGTTTTTTTTTCTAATATGTTCGACATAAAATGCATTAATCTAGGTTCGTTGTCGGTTAATGTTTCTGCATCAACTGGTAGCGGCAGAAGTGAGTTTGTCAGCGCGGGCGAGATAAGTGGAAGCACTTCTTTACGCGATGGATCTCACGAGTTGATAAAGAGAATATGGGTCTTTGCTGTCTTCATGCACATAATATTGATATGCTGTTTTGTATTCTTGTAACATGTGAAATTGAAGCTAATTATATTCTTTTTTACTTGGATTATTGTATTGTCCTTCTATATGCACATTAGGTTTGTTTAGTAATGTAAGTCACTCTTTATCGAAACTCTGGTTCTTAGTACTGTAAATTCAATGATCACATTTATTGAATCACATATACAAGTTATACTTGGTTCTTTCGGATGATTTGTTTTGCACTTTTTTACAAGATTGGTTTCTGCGTGAACGTTGTTGTAGGATTTGGTTTCTTTTAAGAAAAGGATGAAATGTATTATTATCATTATCTGATCTTCCTAATTTGAAAAACTTCAATTTCAATGTTTTTAACATCCTTAATGCTGGTTCTTTAGTGAGTTTGTTTGTTGAATAAGAAACGAAAAAGGCAATTAGGGAATATGCTAGTTGTAAAAGTCCAAGGCTTGATGGTGTCAACTTCACATTCTTGAAAGAGTCTGAGAAGATATTAAAGGCTATTTCATGAGATTACTGCAGGAGTTTCTATAGAAATAGTAAAATTATGAAAGGCTGCACTTTTGGTCCTCTTATTTTGAGATTTTTTAAAATTTGGTCCCCCCATTTTAAAACTCAGCATTTTAGTCCCTAAGTCTTGGGATTTCCATAGTCCCCCTCCACTTAGGATCTTAAATATTTTAATATACATTAATTACTTTTATTATTTAAAAAGCTTTTTAAATTAAATAAAGATTTTAAAAGTTTTTTTTATTATGGTATTTATTAATGGTTGCATTATCTTCTTCATCTAGCCCAGAAACGTCATGCCCTAGCCGTATTGTTCATCTTTTCCACCCTTGAATCTCCCATTTTTCCTTACTTCGTCTTCTCTGCCACCCTTGAATCCTCCATTTTCGTTTCCATAAAATGTATGAGAAATCAATTTTAAAGAGTAGCTACATAAATCGTTCACTTAGGTACGAATGTCATTGTGGTATAAATGCTCCAATTATGACAGCTTAGACTGATGCCAAACCAGGACGACGTTTCTATGGTTGTGGAATGTATAAAGTAATATTTTGTTTAAGACATATTTGAAGTTCTACTTTTTTTTACTTCACTCTATTACTCTATTCAATTGATTTTTACATATGCGAGGTTACAAGAAGTGTAGCCATTTTGTTTGGTTAGATGAAGAAATGAACCCAAGGTTAAATAAGTGATTTCTTCATTACTGCAGAGTTTGAATGATGAGAAGTAAAAGGTGAAAGATGCCATCAAGAAAGATGAAGATGAAATTAATGAAGGATATATCCAACATGTTTAGTTGTGTTTAAGTTGTCACAATGTTGGTTCAGTTGTGTTTAAGTTGTGTTACATTTGTAACATTGTGTTTAAGTTGTGTTCCTTTTGTAACAATGTTGATTAAGAAATGAAATTAACAGTTTGTGTATCATTGTAACAATGTTGATTATGAAATGAAATTAACAGTTTGTGTATCATTATAACAATGTTCCTTATTTATATTATAATAGTGTTCTTGACAATTGATTAACCATAAGAAATGAATTACAATAACAATTCTTAACATAATAGCTGAAGCAAAAATGGTTCAGTGTTATAATATTGATTTAATGTTGTAACCATGTCATAATAGTGTTCTTGTTCATAAAACAAAAGATCATGTCATAAAAGATCATAACAGTGTTGTAAGCATGTCATAACCATAAGAAATGAATTACCATAACAGTTGTATGTTAAAGCAAAAGATCATAACAGATCACAATACAACTTGTTCATAAACATTACATCAAAAAGACCACTGTAGCGGTAAAAATCGTGAGTGTAAGTTATTGACTAACTTAACTCAAAGAAAACAAGAGTCGCCACCGCACTTTTATTTTATCCAAATAAAGGAAGGGAAAAAGAGCGAACAAAACCAAAGAGTTCTAAAATAAGAACACGAGACAGAGATCGGGGTAAGGGGGTTGGTTACGCAATGGGAAGGTGTTAGCACCCAAAACGTCTATAGTACTCTATAGGAGCCCTTTGAAATATTTACGCTTTTTGGTTTGAAAATGGTTTGTTTGAAAAGAGATTGGGGAGATGAGAAGAGAATTATTTTTTTATATTTTTGTGTTTGGAGAGACTTATCGTCTCATGCCTACGTACCCATAAAGTGCAATATGGAATCAAAACCCCGTAGTTCGTGGTACAAATGTCAAAATTTTGTTGGTTTTGATTGATTTTAGATGTTCAGACAAGTCCTCATTTCAAGGAGAAAACTGCGACTATCCACCCACGAGTATTAAGACAACATTTGCGTCACATAAAGATGGAGGATTTGCTTGGATTATCAACAAGACTATCACTCAACATCAACGTGGAAAATGTCAAAGTCTTAATAATATGGGGAATAGGAGATTTACATCTCAACTATAGAAATGAATCATGTCTAAACTTTATGAAAAAGTTTTAAAGTGAAAAAGTGCATAAAGGCACAAAAAGAGTTGATGAGTTTTTGTATTTTTTATGTCTTTTGAAATTGGTCAAAACATGATTAACATTGATTGACTTTTATTAAGAAAAACAAAGTTTAAAAAAATCACTTGACGAAAGTCAAGGTTTTATTGCGAAAGCGGTTTTGAAGTTTGAAACCAAGAAGGTTTTGAAAAAGGGAGAAAGTTTTGAAAATTTAAGAAAGGGAGGAGATGAAATGACTATCCTAAAAATCAAAATAAGAGCTAGAGATAAGAAAGATCTAACCGACTTGTAGCACACTCCAAAGCAAGCAAAAAGAATTCCATCCGATTTAAAGCATAAGCTAATGAGCGAGCCAAATAAAGGCTAAGATCCACAATACTCCAAGCATAGGAATGAGAGCCCTAATTCTAAGTCCAAAGGTCCATAAAGTCCAAGGTCTAAGAATGGTCCAAGAGTATAACCACAAAGTTAATAGCACCAATTTTTTAGATGTTTTATCCTTTATTAGTGTTTTGAACAAAGTATGGTCCAAGTGGACAAAAGAAAAATGACATAAACATAAACAAAGATATGGTATGTAATGATAAAATGGAAGCATAAAAGTAAAAAATAAGGAGTAAGAAGAGAATATAAACAAAATTAAACAAGGATATTGTTAGTGAATTAGTAGTTAGTGGTTAGAACATATGATCAATGATGATTAATTCTTGCACTTAGACCAAGATTAATGAAAATTCATTAGAGGATTGATAGGATCAAAGCCTCCTAACAATGATTTTCATAGGTATTGGAGTTAAGACAAGCAACTAAACATACTTGGACTTTTAAACGTAAGTTTGAGCCACGAATGATCATTTTCCGATTAAGGGACACTTTAGCGCTATGTTAAGCAATCGTAATCGGGTTTATGTAGAAACCACGACTATCTGAGGCCGGTCAATAAAATGTTTGTGTTAATACATGTTAGAGAAATGATATATAAATCAATCTCCTAAAACATGCCACACAAAAAGAAAAGAGGTAATGATCTCATCATAATCAAGATTTTTAATTAATTAATCAAAGGTAATCTATCACTATTCCAAAGTAAGGAGAATTATCTCAATGATTATTCGTCCATAGTTTTGAAATAATGAAGATTAATCAACCTTGATAATCAACAATCTATGATCCATAGATTTCATCGATCAAAAATAAAAAGAAGAAAAAAAGAAAATGAAATCACAATTTGAATCTCGAATCGATTAAATTATCGTCAATATCAATCACCTCTCTTGGTGGATAAAATCAACACCCAAAGTCCATTGATATTGATGAAATCTTATCAACATCAAGATCCAAAACAATCATCACTTAATCAAAATATTTTTAAATAATTTTTTTAAAAGCTTTTTCAGAAATGAAATTAAAATACAAATTTAATAATAAAAGAAAAATGTGGAAAAATCCACATAGTTAAGAAATGAAAAAAGAAAATAAAAATAAACAAATAAAAGAAAAGTAATATTGAAAAATAGAAAGAGAAAACGAAACAGAGTTATCTTCTTCTTCTAGCTCTCACACGCGAAAACATTCACGGCCATGGATGCTAGCTTAAATCACAACGGCGGGATGCAAAATTAACACGGTTGCAATCGAAATCAAGAGCTCTTCACAATGGTACCAACAATTCAGAGAATCACAACAAAAGATAACGGATCGAAAATGACGGTGAAGCTCAATCTACCTTCAAACTCAGGTAAGAAATCAATCCAAGCTTCTTCTTGCTTCTCTTCTTCTTCTGAACGAATTCTGGTTCGAAATTGATCTGTGTTTGAGGTTGATTTGAAGTTAATTTGGTGGAATGAAGTATGAGAAGAGAATGAACGAAAGTTTTTCTGGTAGTGAGGAATTGAGGAAGAAAATCAGCAGAGATTTTTTGGCTTGAAAAGCTTGAAGAATAGAGTGAGGGATGAATTCTATTTATAGATGAGAATGGGTGAAAAATGATTTGCCGTTGTGAGATTTTTTTCTGCGTTTTGAAGTAGGTGTGTTGTGCGTGATATTTTTTGCTGGTATTTGACATGTCGTTTTGCAATTTTTCTCTTTGTAGCTCATTACATGTTATTCTTTCTTTTCACTTTTCAACTCACTTGGGTGACGTGGATTATTTTTCAACTGGCTCACATGCTACTTATTTTTGCTGCAGCTTGTGAATATGGCTTGGTTCATGGCTTGAATACGTGAAAATAGTCTGGCTAGAAACAGAGCTTTTGTTACCGAGAACTCTATTTCCTGTCGCTTCTTCATGCCGCCGTTGCTTCAGCTTCAGCTAGCTGACAAATTACAACCCAAAATAATGACATCAGTGCACACGCCCGAGCCTTATCTTAGCAATTGCACCCAAAACTTCAAACGGTTCAAATTAAAAGGGATTGTTGATCTTTTGCAGTGAAAATGTGAGAGTGCGTTGATGACGACAATCATTTGCTTGTAAATTTTCCATTTCAGGACTAACATAATTTCCAGGTTCAGGAGCTCTTACATTCTTTTCCTTCAGCGACTCAATTTCCACCTGCAATTTC